AATCCTGGCAGGATATCTACTTGTGGTCTGGAGGCAGAATGCTCCCTCGGGAAACCTCCGGCTTTGCTCTCAAGGTCTTCAGCTGATGGGATGAAGCCCAGCCACATTATGGAGAGCAACCTGCTTTACCTGAAGCCAGCTGATTTAATCATGTGTAAATACTTCACAGCAGCATCTAGACTAGTGGTTGACCAACAAAACAGCTGGTCACCCTGGCTCAGCCAAGGCGACACGGAAAATTAACCATCACACTTACCTGTGACCTAAAATACAAAATGACCTTAAGGTGCTTTTAGATGTCAAATTTCTAGGTCAAAGTTTATTATCATAATTGCTTTTCTTCGGACCGGTGGAGATTTAGGGGTCATTAAAAGAACCCCCCACCCTGCCACTTGGTGCCAGCACTGACTATCCCTGGACCATCTTCCAGAGGCCACATGGCTGGGTGACCTTGGGTGAATTTCCCTCCAGATGATGGGCTGGATGAAAATGGTGTCTGTGGCAACCTCGGGGTTCTGTGGTGCCCCCAGCACCCCACCTCAGCGTCAACCCGAGCATGTCTCCTTTGTCGGCTTTATTTACGCTTCTGTAAAATGTTTCATTCGAACCAAGGGTTCCTGGGGCTCAAAGGTTTGGAGCCCACAGGACAAACAGCTCTCTAGGGCCCTACGGAGTCCTCTGCCATTTGGAAAGTGGTGCCCGCTGCCTGTGTCGCCATTATTGGGGAGAACAGGGGCGGCTGGTGGGTGCTCCCGAGGACTGTGCGAAGAATGTGACCTGCAAAGTGACGCTTGGCGAGCAGCCTGGGCCGTTGTCCCTCGGTTCTATTTTTAAGTACAAGTGACTAGTGACTGAGGGCTTTGTGTGGGGAGGGACCTGCAGGCTTAACTCCACGGGCAGCCTAGACGCACGATAGGGCGTCGGCTAAGTAAATAAAAAACCTAAACCTCACCTATTGCCATCGAGTCGATTCTGACTCATAGCGACCCCATAAGACAGAGCACAACCACCCCATAGGATTTCCAAGGAGAAGCTGGTGGATTTGAACTGCCTGCCTCTTGGATAGCAGCCGAGCTCTTAACCACTGCACCACCAGGGCTCCTCGGCTAAGTAAGGGCACCGAAAATTTGTTTTTAATTTGTAAAAGCATCAATATTTTCATCATGGAAAAAAAATTCAGGGCTTTTTGGAACGGGCTCACATTTCTGTCTGTGTTGGCCTTGCTTTTCATTGTGAATTATGTGTGTGTGGCAGGTGGGCACCCGAGTGGACAGGGGCACTCTCTGCTAGCCGGTGCTTCGGGCCTCTAAAGCTCTTACTCTGCACTGCAGCCCCAAGTCCGCCTTTAGCATCCGGCTGACAGGTAGTTGCCCAAAGGACCCCTTGCTTCTAACCTTTGGTTTCAGCTACTCAACCCCCTGCCAGCCTTGGGCAGATTCTTCACATTCCTGCCCGTCAGCAGCCTCTCGGAGAGGAATGTCAACCGCTGCCATGATGTCGCAGGGCTCAAGGAGAGGGGCCTGGGCCAAGCCCAGCCTGCCGCTCAGGGCATGGCCAAGAGGGAGATAAGCGAAGACACACAGTGGACCTGCTCCACGGGGCTCCCCAGGCAACCGGGCGACCAGGCCCTTAGCTTCCAAGGACAATGAGCTTCCAGACACCGCTGCACAAGTGAACACCGGGCGCCTGCGGCTCTTCCCTTTCTCTGCCCTTGTCAAGCCTGCATCAGGATGTCAGGAGCCTCCCAGGAGAGTCTGGGGCCCCGGGGACTGCCGGTGCTGGGCAAGGCCTGTCTAAACACCGTGGACAGAAAGCTCAACGTGCTGAACGAGAAAGTCGACAAGCTCTTGCATTTCCAAGAAGACGTCACGGAGAAGCTGCAGTGTGTGTGCCGCGGCATGGGCCACTTGGAGCAAGGCCTTCACCGCCTGGAGGCCTCCCGGGCGCTGGGCCTGGCTGGGGCTGGC